ATAATTTTGTTTGTTTCTTGGGATTTTTCACTATTATAGAGCATAAGGTATATACTACTACATTTTCTTTTGAGTAATAAGTCTCTTTGATTTTTGTAAACCATTAGGCCAACAAAGTTTTTTCATTTGAGCCGTTTGGCTCACCAGACCATTGGGCCTATACATTTTATTCCCAGTCGTTTGACTCAATTGTCTCAGTTTTAGATCTAAGCAATTATCTCACCAAAACATTAGGCTTATTATTTTATTCCGAGTCTTTTGACTCATCGAGCATTTAGCTTACTAAGCCATTAGGCTTATTATTTTATAGTCGTTTGACTTAATGGTCTTTGTTGTGTTACATTTTTTATAAGCCTAAAATAACTAATATCATTATTAGTATTAGTAATCTTATAATCAGTAGGTATATATTATAGTTAAACTCTCGATTGTATTCTAATTTATTGTTTATGTTAACTGGGTTTTATGCTATTTAGTTATCTATATTCTACATATAAAGAAAACGATATAAAATATTATGCATGAATCAAACTTTCAAGTTTCTGACTTAGCCGGTGGTACGGTAGGATTCTGAGAATATTCACTTGCTTGTTTATTTTCTAATATTTTAAAACATGATTCGTACATCTGCTTACCGTACCTAAATATATATTACAATACATTTTAATAATTAAATAATCTTGAGCGTTTAAGTTTATTTTTTTTTTGCCAAACCAATTGATTTATAATTTCCAGTTTATTAAACTGATATGTTTTTCATATTTTTTCATGTTTTTTTTTGTATAAAACCAAATAGATTTAGATACTTCATCCCATCTTCGTCGCAAATAAAATTTCTCTATGCTATGTACGTATCTTCAGTATTATTAAATGAAATAAAACACACTTTTCTGCTGACAAATATTTATGTATTTTGGATGGATACCTATGAAGAAGATTGTAAAACTTGTTTGCGATGTAAACAATGAACTGTTTTTAAACTAGACTATGTTACTATTAGATACCACCATATGGAACTAATGCCGATAATTTTTCCATTGTTAAATAAGGTCGAATCCGGCCATGATCTTAGTGGACTGTAATTTGAGATATACCTTTTGATTTTTTGATATGTGCTGATTTCTAAAAAGTATGGCTGCATTGAAATTCAAGTCTTATTGAACACTGCTTTATTACTAAACCCTTTAAAATAGTTTTTACACAACACAATTTCACAAGCATCATCCTAAACTCTATAGATTTTTTGTTTGCTTCCAAAAGTAATCACATTACCTTTGAATTTAAATGTTTTATGTGTGATTCAAAAACACCGATATGTCGTATATGAGAGCACCTCCTTCTCGAAGATGTGTAAAAGCTCTACCGGTGAAAAATGCAGCAATTTCTACGTTTATCTGACTGACCGATCATCTTTTGGGTGGTAGTTTTATTTGACTTGCGGAACATATTTTATTGGCTATGAAGTGAACCTTATATATCACAAGGGGGTGATGTTATCGTTTTGTCTATTTCAGCGTTATGGATTAGTTGAACAGGTTCGCCGTAAGAAGGGATTCTTTAGGGACAGGGCCCAATATTGAGTGTATTTCAACAAAGAAGTTGTTACAAAATATGTGTCCTATGTTAAAACTTAACGTTTTTTTTTAACTAACTTTGGATGCTACATTTTTAGCACGTTTCGGTAATAATATAAGTTAATATATAATTAAACATTCCAACAACGTTGTTTTCTTAAAAGTTAAAGAAAATCGTAATTGTTACATCAATAGATGTTAAATGGAAAATATTTCGAAATTTATTTCAAATTAACGTAACCAAATGTCACAAATATATTTCTTGCTTAGGGAGATAATGATTAGGTTGATAGAAATAGTTTGTATATTAAAAACGATTAACGATTGAAACATTTTAACGTATTTGACAATAAAAGAAAGGTAATTAACCAATCGTGGTCAATAATAAAATACACGGTAGATGGAAAAATATTTTTCTGATTCACAGTACTGTACAGGATGTCTGATTAAGGACTCGTAGCGGCTGTATCTCAGAAACTATTGATCCTACGGCTTCGAAAAAAAAAAATTATAACAAAAACGGTCAAGAGAAAATGCTGGAAATTATTTTGAACTTTCTATTTTAACCGTTAGAGGGCGTAATTCGCTATGGTAATTCAAAAAAATCACTTTTCCCCTATAAATGTCTAATAATAGTATGATAATAATAATCGAACGGTAATTTTAATTAAATTTTACAAAAGTTTTATTCAACACTTTTTGCTCTATTCAATAAAATTACAGGTAGGGGTGATTGGGAACCTTAAATCAATAAATGTATTATAACTACGGTGTCGTTTATCAGATTTTGAAAAACTTTATATCGATTAAAAGAAAATTGATTGTTTAGTAAAATATTTCAAAACAGTTCTGATTCAGTTGTTTAAAAGAGCACTAGGTGGCGTTGTTTAAGCAGTAACCATTTTTTTGAAGTTTTCTTGAAAAATTTAAATGGAATGTTATAATTTTTATACGTTATTTAGAAAGAGAATTAAATTCTGACAAGAAACAAAAAAAACCGCGTCTTAGTATCTTTTTCCTAACCGAATATAAGCAAAAGTCTATTAATGGTGAATAGTCCACTTAAATATTAATAAATAAAATTATTGATATTTTAATCTAGTTGGCTTTGAAACGTCAGTTATTTTTCTATAGCTTAACTGTAAAGCGATTAAGATAAAAAATATTAAAATCGGATTTAAATTAACTCTTTAGTGTAAGTTTACTGATTTAATAAAACTAATTGCGAAATAAAAATTGAATATATCAATAAAATACAACAAAACAAGTAACTAAACACAGAACAAAATAGAGAATGCAATACAAGAATTAGAGGTAGTGCTCGAATTGTTTTCCATGTTTTTCAATGCAAATATCAAGTCTCTGTCTAGTTGAATTGACAGCAGCTTCTATTTCAGCCCTAGGAATATGATCAATTGCAGTTTGTATATGTTGAATTAGATCTTCTCTACTTACAGGCTGAGTTTGCTAAACTAAATCTTTAAGTCGACCCCACAAATAAAAATCTAATACGGTGAGGTCGGGAGATCTTGCTGGCCATGGAAATAGACTACCTCTTCCAATCCACCTATTCCGAAAATGTTGTCTTTTGCATTATTTGTATAATGTGCTGGGCTGCCATCTTGCTGTATCCACATATTACGGCGTACCTCTAGTGAAATATTTTCTAATAGGCAATTCGTCTCTTAGTAATCTTAAATATCGCTCACCATTTAAATTTTCATTATTAATAATAGGACCTATAATTTTACCGTCTAAAATTCCACACCACACATTTACTGACCACCGACCTTGATTAAAAACTTCTCGCATCCAATGAGGATTGTGGTCAGACCAGTAATGCATATTATGCCTGTTTACAGATCCATTACTGGAAAATGTAGATTCTTCGGACCACACTATATGTGATAAAAATTGTGGATCCTCATTAAGCATATTCTTAAGCCAATTACAATAATCCAGTCTTTTATCATAATCTGTTAATTTCAGACCTTGATGAAGGGCTACATGGTATGGATGGAGACGATTTTGTTTTAAAATAGAACAAACGCAGTACCTAGTAAGTCCTAAGTCGGAAGCAATTTCCCGTATACTTATGTGGATTTGCAGCAACGTATGCCAATATATTTATTTCGTTAATTTCCGTTCTGCTTCTTCTACGTCGTTGAATAGCTTTTTTAGGTTGAACACAGCCATTTTCTTTTAAACGAATCGCCAGATTATTAAATGTTTCTCTTGTTTGTAAAACTCGCTGAGGACATCTCAACGCATATTCTCTGGATGCAATCGGGGCGTTCTCAAAACATTCAAAATATACTTTTAACATGTCATAAGCTTCGGAATTACTGTAAGGCATGATGTCTTTTAACTTATTAAAATATAATTAATTTGACATTTAAGCTTACTGACATTTCAAAGCCAACTTGATTAATATATCAATAACTTTATTTATTAATATTTAAGTGGACTATTCACCCTTAATAAACTTATGCTTATATTTGGTTAGGAAAAAGATAAAAAGACGTGGTTTTTTTTTGTTTCTTGTCAGAATTTAATTCTCTTTCTAAATAACGTATAAAAATTATAACATTCCATTTAAATTTTTCAAGAAAACTTCAAAAAAATGGTTACTGCTTAAACAACGCCACCTAGTGCTCTTTTAAACAACTGAATCAGAACTTTTTTAAAATATTTTACTAAACAATCAATTTGCTTTTAATCGATACAAAGTTTTTTAAAATCTGATAAACGACACCGTAGTTATAATACATTTATTAAATTAAGATTCCCAATCGCCCCTACCTGTTATTTTATTGAATAGAGCAAAAAGTGTTGAATAAAACTTTTGTAAAATTTAATCAAAATTACCGTTCGATTATTATTATCATACTATTATTAGACATTTATAGGGGAAAGTGATTTTTTTGAATTACCATAGCGAATTACGCCCTCTAACGGTTAAAATAGAAAGTTCAAAATAATTTCCAGCATTTTCTCTTGACCGTTTTTGTTATAAATTTTTTTTTTCGAAGCCGTAGGATCAATAGTTTCTGAGATACAGCCGCTACGAGTCCTTAATCAGACCCTGTACAAGAAAATTGTGCTTGTTTTATTGTCTGATCTCTACAGTATTAAATAAAAAAAAAAAAAAAACAGAATCACGAGAAAACCTAAAAGGAAATCTAATTTCAAAACGATTCAGCATCAATTTCTTTAAATAAATGTAAAAGTGATGAAAACGAGAATGAATTTAAGTGTCTGCAAGAAATACCGCTCCGACTATGTTTATAAATAGATTATTTCGTTTTTAGTTGACCATTGAGATTCACTTAGTTGCATGCAAATGGGATAGCGAGGAGTTTTAGCAACTAAATTTATTGAAATTTTAGTCTAACGTTAGCTTAAGGTTGTATTGCGTCTCTATGCAATCCGGTATACATCAAACTATTAGTTATATCTACGATAATATTTATTTAAAGTGAAATATAATTAATCTGAGTTTGAAACATGTTTGGGAACCGTTTTGTTCAAAATGCTACACTCAAAAAACTGTTACCTATTATAAAGAGATCCGTTGCTACTTCTAAAAAAAGTGGTGGTAACGTTACTGCTGAAGTTGAAGCAAGAGGAGCAAAATCAAAAGGTATCAACAGTAATATAATACCAAGAATGTGTGAAGAGTGCTATTTGACTCAATATTTTCGGTATTCAACTATATGCTTTTATTTATTTTACGTAACTTATTTTTTATTTTTTGGATATCTAATTATATTATCATTTATTTTTATTTATCTTATTTATAATGATGGAGTAGACGACAAATCTTGTTTTCATATTTATTCTATACAGGGTGATTCATTAAGAATGGGCAATCCCTGAATTACAGATAGTAAACAACAAAATATAAAGATTTAGCCCAACATGTCTTAAAAAAATATTGATGATTTAGGAGAATATTTTATTTCAAAATTTCTTAATAACATTATGTTTTAACAGCATAAACATACAATTTGACAGTTTTAGGTTTTCTCCATGAGAAATACGAATTTTGTGACTGCTCATAGTATATTATATCATATCTTCTGTAATATACTTGGCCGAGGGTTGATAATAAAGTCACACAGATTAAATACCACTCAGGATTATTTAAATAAATCAGGATTTACTTTAGAATTACTTTTATTTTAATAGCAACAGTGGGCTTCACACATAACCATGAATAAATAAAAATGTCAAATGTCATCTATCATTGTACAGTACCAACTTAAAATATTAAACATTAGTTAAGCATTTTATAGAGGTTCTAACACTTCATTGTCCATTGAATAGGTAATGGTTAAAATAAGTTAAAAATCTGAGAGCTCGTTTAATTTTACATAAAAAATTTACTCTTTTTTCAAATTGCTTAACACTATCGGTTTTAGAGTTTTTCGCTCTTAAAAAGATCTGTGTTTTTCTTAAATAATTTTTATTATTTTAAGGGGTAGTTCAAAATGAGAGAGATGAGAACCGTTACATATCTTGGAAAACAACCATGTTGAGTGGATATAAACCACTGATGCCAGATTGTATTAAAATTCGGATATTATGTCTGCATTTTTTGTATAAATAGAAATAGGTATGATTAACACGAACATTTTAAAAATAATGCAAATAATATTTCAAAAATAAAGGGTTCAGAAATCAAACGCCTACAATTTCAAAAACAAAAATTCTCTGCCTGTGGATCCAAGGGTCTCAGGTTCGAATCTCACCGTTGGCAGGAATTTTTTCATTTAATTTAATTATTTAAAATTAATTCTGATGCCTTGGTAGGATTCCCCACTCGACCATTCACTGTTTTGTTCTAATTAACAGTGCTGTTCCTAAAGTGGTGCTGGGAAACAGTAACAAAGCCTACACAGAACACGAGGGGAAATAACCATAGCAGTTGAAGCCGATGACACACACAAAAAAAAAATAAAGAGAGTGATTAGATAAGTTTTGTGAAGAATATTTCAAAAACCTTATTTTTAGTTTTTTTTCTACTCCATCTAATCAATAAATAATAGTATAATTCGAGAATTGTTGTTGAGGTCTTACTTTTTCGTAAGTGACTGTACAAATACTCACATTTAAAAAAAAAATTCTCAAAAATTTTCACGGTAAAGTATAGTTAAAAGTTCACTATTAGATAAATAAGGACTTCAACTATTAAAAAAAAATTAATTTTAGTCATAATCTAATATTTTTTATTTAACATTGGTGGCGAAAGGACCTCCTTAATAAAAATTTGTGCAAAAAATGACGTATGGACTAATACTGACAATACGCATCTGTATTTGACAAGTACTGGTTTTTCCATAGCATGCTACTTACTTTAGTACATACAATGCTAATGAAAATGAATAAAGTTATTTTAAGTTATAAAATGGAGTTTCTAGTTTAATAGGAAAAATAACGAAGTAAATAAAAAAGAAATTGTTAAGAAAATATAAGGTTACAATATTATGAAAAAATCACGCTATAAGGTTTTTGAAATATTTAGGTTTTATTTTTTACAATATTAAAAAATCACAAAAAATTTTCAACTAGGTTACTTGAAATTTTTTTTAACATTAATTTCTCAATAAATTCTAGGGTAAAAAACACTTCATCTAATCAATACATAATAGTATAATTCGAGAATTGTTGTTGAGGTCTTACTTTCTTGTAAGACACTGTACAAATACTCACATTTTTAAAAAAATTGCTCGGTAAGGTAAAGTTAAAAGTTCACTATTAGATAAATATGGACTTCAACTATTAAAAAAAAAATTAATTTTAGTCATAATATAATATTTTTTATTTAACATTGGTGGCGAAAGGGGTGGTGAAACAAATATTTGCTTTAAACTTTTTGTTATTTTTTGATGGTGCGTAAATTTATTGGGAAAGATTATTTATTATGAAGCTAATTTTATGCATTGATTCCACTAGATAGCCTTGTTTGTCAATAATGAAACCACCGCCATTGTTTCTAAAATTCTATCATTCTAAAATGTCAAATAAATCATTTAGAGTATTTTAAACTTCTTTAATAGGAGTTTGCTTCAGTGGTTGATATTGTAACTGAAGGTGATAAGTGAAAATATTTGTTTTGTTGAAATAAATGTTGATCTTACGCGAATAATATACATTGTGGTGAAGTAACAATGATTTTTGCACCTGTTTTAACGAACTACAGGATGAATCTCTGAATTTGATATTAGGATCAAAAAGATAAAGGGTCCAAATATTTTTATATTGGCAAGTTTTTACATGGATTCGCGTAAGTGGAAAAGAGATTAAATATTTTAATATTGTCAGGCTTAAGGGATAAACGGACCAACTATTTTTACATGGATAGGCTCAATCAACAAAAACATTTTTTTAAATGGATAATATGTCGTGGAAAACACTTTTGTCTCTCTCTTTTTGAAATAAATAATAAATGAAGCTAATTTTGATGGAAAGTTAGCAATATCAATCACGAAAATGAGCATACATGTTTTTTTAAATGGATAATTGGTCTCTCATTCCCTTTTTGAAATAAACCCCAATTAATGTTAATTTTCATGGAAAAAAATGTCGTTCATCCCCTTTTTGAACTAAACCCCAGTTAATGCTAATTTTGATGGGAAGTTAGCACTACAAATCACGAAAATCATATAAAAATATGTCTTTTTTGATCCATTATTTACTCCATTCCTCTAATGAGAAGTAATATCTCTCACTCTAGGTAAATAATGAGATTGAATTCCATTGAGAAGGCCATTACAAACCTCGCTACGCGCCTCAGGATATAAAAGTGCTCGGTAAATAGTAGCTCACTTCTTATCCTAAATGTACGAGTATAAAGTATCATTTTGTTGTTTATTCCGACGAAAAACTGTGCATTGCTTCTCCTTCATTATTATTTTCTGACAACGATTTACTAAAATAGATTAAAAAAAATTGTCCTAAGCTCGTAATGCCTAATTATATATTTTTTGTTTTCACAGATAAAAATTGGGTAAGCTATGGCTACGAATATACTAGCAAAGAAGATGACAGAAATGCAATGCATTCTATTATGTTTGCTTCAGTTACCCTTTGCTTAACTGTAGGTGGGTTTTTCTTCGCCTACATGCCAGATTACTCTCTGCGAGATTGGGCCCAAAGGGAAGCTTTCTTGGAACTCAAAAGAAGGGAAGCAAAAGGATTGCCTTTAATTGATCCAAATTTTATAGATCCCGCTAAAATTAAGCTGCCATCAGATGAGGAGTTAGGAAATATTGAAATTATTGTTTAAACTGTAGTTTTAAATATTGTAAATAGTTAAAATAAATTATAAATGAGTTTCTTGTCAATTATTTTTACTTTGGTTATAATTACCGTTTTAGAGTTACCAACACTTATGTGGTCACATAAACCGATGGCAACGTTTATTTTCAAATATTTATATTTTTTTATTTATATTTAATATATCTCAGTCATTTTTATTGGATAATTCAATTAATTTATATAGGTAAAATTTAATTTAAGAAGCTCTCTACAACATTGAATGATTCAAGGCAATATAGTTATCTTAAGTTTTAATATAATATTCTTAATACGTATAATCCTTCTAATAGTATAAGAATTTCCATATTTACGCAGTATTGAAAAAAGGGACCAGGCAGTCGGTTTGTGGAGATAGGGTTCCCGTGAAGTTTTTTGATTTTTTGATATGTAGCAATTATTGTCAGTTTACTGAACAATAGTGCACAACAAATTAGATATATTTCTTAAAAAAGTCAAAAATAAAATTAGAAATCTATGTCTTATAAATTAATTTTTACTCATATATAGTATTTTTAATACAAATACCAATGCACGTCATAGATCATTTATGAAGTCACGACCTTGTAGTGTTGTCTAATCGTCAGAATACTCGAGAAATGTGAAAAGCTTTGAAATTTTAAGGTTATGTATTTTTTGTTGTGTAATGGGCCATGTTCACATATGAGATATGCTGTTTTTTAAATTATATTGTAACAGTTAGTCGCTATACAAGTTATTCTACATAGTCAGTTTGTTAAAAAAGCCAAAAGTTTTTAAATTAAAACCAATTTAAATTTAAAATTTGAAATGGGAATAGACCAATCAGCTTGTGTTAAAGTTTTTTTTTTGTTATACAAAACCAAGCTAACGAACAAACCGACACACATAATGTCGAAGTGAACGCACATCTAAGTGACACTTAAAATTGACACCACCTAGACCACCTAACCTAACATTCGTTTTTTGTTTTGTTTACCTTTTTTCTTAATTCTAGATTTATTTCTTCTGTCTTTGCTAATTGGTTTAATTTTATTATTAATATGAGATTGTCAGCTGGATTTATAAAAGTTGATTCGAGTGTTTTACCCATTGTAAACCAAGATATGATTACCGAGATGATTACTGCATTTTTTAACAATACTCAGTTTATAAAAGACAGAAAGGTATGTAAGACTTTATTTATAATTTGTTTTAATAGTAGTTACAGTTTATATGGATCAATACACCTTATAGTAAAAACGTATTTATCTCAGGTCATTAGGGTTGTCGAACAGTAACAGTTTTTCAAAAATAAACATTTTACCTTTACCCTTTACTTCATTTATATTTATAAGAAATATTTGTTTGTTTATGTAAACTACACTTTCCTTCTCATAAATATTGAGGATTTTAAAAACACTGTTGGGCAATCCTAAATATACCTTCGGTTTATTTTCAATTTTGAGAGTTCATTGGTTTTGAAGATCCTGCTCATTATTAAGTCTCTTTGAATCAGATATTAAAGATGTTCCTTCCGATTCAGACAAAACTTCACTATCTTTAAAACTTTCAGGAGGTTTCGAGGCAGGTTCTTGCAGAAGGGGTTTTAGGATATACACCTTCGAACTTATAGTAGGCTCATTTTAAATTAACCGAAGAGGGCAATTTCAGAAATTGCTGCTGCATCTTGAAGATCCGGTGTATGTTTATTAAATCGAGATGAAAAATGCCTCTAGTAGAAGGTTATTTTCCAGTCAACATTTTTTTTGTTTTCTGTTCTTCTTTTTTTGGTAGAATCAGTGAGCTGGCTCTTGTGTGGTGAATAACAAGAACTGTGGAGACATTTCTTATATGTAAAGGTTTATCCATCATTTAAAAAATGAACAGTTTTCAAAAATCATCTGGTATCTAAAAAAAAAGAAAAAAACATCGTTACTACAATGATAGATAATTGAATAATTAAATTACAATGAAACATTTTTATTTTAATAAAGAGTATAGATACAAACCTCAACAAAATAATTTAGCTGTTCCTTGAAGCGTTTCTATGTAATGATAATAATTTTCGTCTTTTCATATTTCTAGCAACACTAATAAATATTTTTAATAATGAATGTAAAATGTAAATCATTATCACATCTTGGGAGGAAACATTTTTTTTATACTCATAATATTTATAAAACATCAAACTTGCATATTTATCGATTGACAACACAAAAATGTCTGATTCACAGATAACACATGCAGTGCTGCCGCATTTCAATTTTCTTGTTTATTAGTTGTCGTTTTTTAAAACAATAAAACTATATATATGGTGAAAGTTTAAACATAAATAATACTTTTAAAAACATTTAATATTTTATATTTAAAAGATATTTGTTTAACGATATTTTAGAAGTCTAAAAGTAAGACGGTGCACACAAACGAACGTGTATTACTTTTCGTATACCGTCTAACTGGCAACGTTGTGTGGCTAGTTCCTATTGGTCTATTCCCGGTGACGTCATAAATTTAAAAAAATTAGTAACTCAAGCAAATAAATAGATAAAAAAATTTTAAATGTAGCTTTATTTTAAACTGTATTATTAATAAAAAAAAATCAAATTTTTTGAATATGCTCCATTGTTCGTCCTAGGAAAAAAACGAGGAATAATCAATTTGGGTGGAACAATCTCAAAATGGTTATTTGGAATCTAAGATAAGGATGATGGGGCAAAAGAATTCAGTATGGATTAGATTTTTGGAAAAAAAATTATAATTTACTACAGCAAAACATTAACAACGCAATTTCTTTAGAAAAAGAATTTACTTCTAAAGTTAATCATACAGTTCACAAAATTAAATCAAATAGTTTGATTATTACTCAATTGATTCAAGATTTTTCAGAAAAAGTTAATGATATTAATGCATAACACTTAATTATTAATTCCATATTTACATTACAAATTCAATTAAATCAGATTAACAATGCCGTAACTTTTGCAAATTTAAACAAAGTGCATCCAAACCTCTTATCATCTTCAAATTTAAATTATATTATTAATAAAATATGAATGACATATTTTTTAATGTAAAATTTTTGAATTTCTGTTATAATGCAATAACTTTAGTATTTTTTCTGTTCTCTTATTTCTTATTTCACATTTATTTCGTATCTAGTGTAATAATATTTTGTTATTAATTAGGTTAAAGTTGTTTAGTTTAAACCCATTATGTAAGAAGCATTGGGAACACTTTTTTGGGTATGTCCTGTTTGTGTTCCAAACAAAATAAATAAATAAATAAAATAAACTATATATACAAATAATCAGATAATTCAATTTTGAAACTACAATAGCTACTATTCTTTATTAGACATTAATTGATTTTCCAAAATGATAAATTAATTTTCTTAGTTCATTTCCCTATCCTAATGGATGATCACTTTAAAACGTACTTCCTATATCCAATCCCAATAAAAAACAAAATAATCCATCCTCACAAACCTTACCTAATCCTAAATGAGAGAAATGATTTTTATCAATATAAAGATGAACCCTGTGAAGAGCTAGAGAATACATTTTATTGCAAAAATCATCTCCGACAGAAGATGATTGTATTGTTGGAATAATAAGCGAATATCAAGCTATCAATTGCACCAAAATTACTGTACACATTGAAAACTTCATTACAAATCAAGTTACTCCACAAAATATTCTATTGACTACACCAAACAATATGATTATAACTGAAGTATGTTCCAACAAAAAGTGCCACGAGCTTAAACCTGGTAGTTAATACTTACAATTCCTAAAACTTGTTTATTTCAAATTGGAAAAGAGTTCATTTATGGAAATGCTGAGATATCACCGGCCACTCTTGTACAGTTTCCTCACATATATCTGTCAAAAATCTTGCAGCAACCAAGGAAAATTAAACTTATCAATCTAGATGTTAATGATATCAAACACTTAGCAGCAAAAGTAAACATGCAGCATGAAATTACGCTACCGCCAAAACCACAAGATCATGCAGAATCAATTCCTACTTGGTTGATTATTCTGATCGGTACCCTAATAGTCATTACTACCTTCATAAGCATAACATGTTACTATCGAACTTGTTGCACATATTTTTGCAAGAAACAAATGAGATCCAGTACAAAAACCACTGTGGAAGCTTAGTCAACCAAGCCACCCCAAGCATTCCACTTTAGCGGGGAGGAGTTAAGGAATATCTACACCACTGGTAGCTTTCCCTTTCGTTCTACCTACTAAGAACCGGTATACTGATGTGTCAGGGATTCTCGGTATTTATTTGTGAAGTGCATCATTTTTAGATAAAGACTGATATTTTGTTGAATATTATTTTTATCTATTAATATTACTAACTCGTATTTTCACCAGCATTTATCTTTTATATCTTAGTATTTTTCCAACGCATTATTATAAAAACCTAATGTACGTTGATATCACGTTCTTATTTTGTAACATGCTATTCTAGAATTAAAGTTGTTCTCTAGTTTATGAGTTATTCAAACTAATTAACCAAAACCCTTAAAAATATATACCGTGAGCACCATAAGTCTTACCCCCCCTATCTAACTCGTTACTGGAGTCTTGTTAGGAAAATCGCCGAGACACGTCGATTTTTTATTTTTACAGTGTACATTTTTGTATGAATAGTTTACCCTTAATTTCATCCCTTACTGGAGGGGAGCAACCCTTTAGAAAAATTTAAATGGCATGTGGTGGTGAGTGATAGCTCATTTGAAAGAGGGTTTTATTCTCTATTCAACCATGTAAAAAATTTTAAAATTTGCTTCATTAATTCTCGACTAATTGTCGTTTCAGAACAACGAAAATTAACGTAGCGCACTCATCCTTAGAATTAAAATTCGGCCCTGCATGATTTCGGTTTTGGTTCAGACGTGAAGTAAGACTTTTTGCCATTAGAAGGTCACTATTAGTTTAGTTGCTTTCTTATTTTGTGAGGTTTTGTTATTTTTAAACAATAATAAATCAACACGTAATGAAGCAAATTTAAAATTTTTTGCACGGTTGAATAGAGGATAAAACCCCCTTTTATA